CACTAACTCCTTGAGACACAGTGAGAGGAATCAGCTGAGGTGGCTAAAGCAATTGGACATCTTTGTGTCAGGCATGTCCCACCGGGATGGATGTCAAGGGGACGGCCTTGCTGAAGGGTCAATGTCCGGAGAGGAGTTGAAGAAGGTGTCTCAAGAGAGTGTCTGATAGGACTGCTGCCCCTGCAATCCGGTCCCTTGCAAAAAAATTATTAATTAATAATAATTGACTGCAGGCAATGGGGAAATGGTAGCCTACTCCGTGTCTTTGGAGAACCAAGGCTATGCGGAGTCAGTATAGGGAGATGAAGAATGGAGCCTTGAGGCCCTTAGAAGTGCTCCACAGGATTCAGAGCAGCCAACACAAAAAAAACCCCATCTTCCTGTGGATTTCAAGCTCATATATTTACACGTACGCTCAAACAATTATAAATAGATCATCTCCATCATCATCTAGATCATCTAGATTTGTCTTTTTCAAGGAAATATAATAAAAAAACAGCAATACATTAAATGTAGCATTATATCTTAACAGATAAACAGTTGTTGAAAGTGAAAGACGATCAAGGTGTCATGAATATAAAATCATAATATAAAGAACATTTTTTTTATGACTAAAAGTCAATTCAACTCAGTTTATTTCTATAGCAGCAGTTTACAACACATGTCATCTCAAGGCACTTCACACTGAACTAGATCATCCAGTCAGATTGATCTAAAGTTTTCTATCTGTTTCCATCGACTCATTGACTCTTCAGCAATCCCTCACACTAAGCATGCTTGTAGCGACAGTGGAGAGGAAAAACTCCCTTAGAACAGGAAGAAACCTCCAGCAGAACCAGGCTCAGTGTGAGCGGTCATCTGCTGAGGCCCACTGGGGTTCAAGGAGACAGAAGCAGACATAGAAAAAGAAGCATAGATACAAAAGGCAACTGTCAACCAGCTCCACAGGCGGCCCCGTCCAGGAAACACACAGCCAGGCAGACGAGCTCCGAACCAGCTCCCATGTCAGAGGATGAAGAGAGCACATCCAGTTAGTCACAGTCAGAGAAACAGGACTACACTGGAAAACAGGCCAAGCTCCAACATCTAGAAACAAAGGTGTTGATGGCAGCAGCACAGCTGATATTTCTCTCCAGGATGGAGTCACAGCCAAACAGGAACAGACCAGATGAAGCTACTATGAGAAAAAGCAGAGAGAGAAGAATGTTAGAGATTGAACTAACAGATTCTGCAGAGTGGGATAATAGAGATAGAATGAAGCAGAATAATGAAAAAGGGGTCCCTATGTCCTCCAGCAGTCTAAGCCTATAGCAGCAGAACTATAGAGATAGTTCATCCACATAAGCAGACAGGTAGATGGACGGAGAACAGGGAGTTGAAAAGTATATTTTACAACAAAATAAGAGAAAACAAGGAAGAAAAAAAAACTATTCATAAGAACGATGAGGAACAAATCAAGTTTGTTGACTTTGTGAGACCAAGAACACTTTTCAAGGTTACATTTCAAAAGGTGCGTGTTATAAACCTCAGAAAGAGGCGCCCTTGTTCCAGGTTTTGCAGGTCAATATAAATCAATTTAAAAGCAAACAGAACAATACAGTAGACAATGATATATAAGGTGTTTGTTTTAGTTTTATTGCATTTGCAGCAATGCTAATTAAAGTACACCATCCCTGTCAAATAAATGAATAAATAAAATAAAATTCAATCACATTTACCCTTCACCAAGTTTTAATTATACTTTATAAAGATTTGCCATCAAAGCCAGTTTTTTACAGATATCATTAAATAAAAACAACCAAATCCTGACACAGTGACTCTTCACTATCTTCCTACTAATATTCCACAAAGTGCTTCATGGACAAAGACAAATGCTCCCATGAACAAAACATCAGCAAGTTTATATCAAGCTGAAAGCTTAACATGATGTCCCTGAAGATGTACATCCTGATGTCCCGCCTTTGCGTTACGCAGTGACAGCACTGAGCTCAGCATCTCCTCCGTTCATCTCTGCTGCCTATAAATAGTGAGGAGGACACTTCCAGCCTCCATCAGCCAGCTGACTGACCAACAAGTAGGACTCCTGCTCCTCTACAGCACCTTCTCTGCAACAACCTGGTCTGAAAGAGCAAACTCTGGGGTTCTTTGAGAGCTGCCATGAAGGTCCTCGTCGTCCTCTTCCTCATCTTCCTCACAGGTTTAAGAATCTCGATCCTCTGGTTACAAAAATAAAAAGTCATTAGAAAGAAAATGACTTTAACTGTTTTCTCTGCAGGTTGTGATGCTGGACACCTAGAACCGTCTTTACCCCAGTGCCAGTGGGAATTCATGTATGAGGCTTTCTGGAGTTTTGTTAGCGCCGCTACAGGGACCTCAGCAGACTGTCTGCTGAAGATCAAACAGAGCCCTGCAGGACAGCATGTGTGGTAAGAGGAGAGCTGAAGCGTTTCTCCACAGCATCAAAGCTGGATGTGTTTCTGCTGAGAATAAGGCAGAGAAAGAATGCACTGATTTAATGTCATTATTGCTAAACTATGGAATCTTAACTTTCACTTCCAGGTCAGAAGGTGTTTGTATTTCTAACTAACCTTCACATGCTTCTTTGTTCGGAATATAAACTGTTTATCATTCTGAATAAAGCAGATTTCTTCCATTTGGTGCCTAATTACAGCCTGGAGTTTATTAACTGATGTTGAGAAGGATGATTAACACAGTGGAATATGTCTGATGAAAGTTAGCTGAATGAATGTTTGATTAAAACCTGAGAACAAGGTGTTAATCAAGGTTCTGTCTGCATCTCTGCAGCTCCCTCATCACACAGAGCTACGTCATCGTCCGCTGCTTCTACTATAGGGTGCAGGTTCACATCGAGGTGTGGATCAGCCATTTCCAGTCTACGTTCTGCACAGAGATAGATCAGCTGAAGCACGACCTGGAGGAAATTCTGCGCTGCCTGAACGCTGACTTCCACCTGCAGTTCGAGGAGCTGTTCCGTAAAATATGCTCCAAGCTGGAGGAGCTGAGGAGGAACGCCGCCAACTACATTATATGCCTGGATCCCGTAGGCTTGAAGAGAACCGTGCTGGACACGATCCAGGAGCTGCATGAGCTTCTGGATCAATGCTTCACCCACCTGGATACTCCCAAACATCGTCCTTGTCATAGTCACCGTTGTCACGGTTATTGGCATAGACGTTTAAATTCTTGGCGTAAACGTGGCTTTTACTTGAAAGCTAAACTGATTAAGAAGGTTGAGGCGAGGCTGGAGCAGTTTAAGGAGGTCATGATCAAGATGGTCTGCAGCTTCGAGACTAAAATTACTGAAACCATCCACATCCTCACTAATAAGGTTATTCATCTTGGCAGACAATGTTGTGTCCGGCTGAATATATACTCAAGCCACCTGCAGAATGACCTGCTGTGTCTGTGGGAAAAATGGTCAGCATGTTATAACTATTGCTGATGAAGCAAACCACTTCAGCTGTCACAGTAGGCATCTTGTGTTCATTTGTTCTCAGGCTGATGATTTCCTGTTGAATAACTATGATGTCGATGATATTCCTTCATTAAAAATCAAAGCTGCATTACAAAAATGTTAATGTCATCTCATTCCTTTTTTTTTTTGTCAGATTGAGATTTTTGGCGACATTTGAAAAACATTGCCTCAATTCTAGCTTCTGCTTTGAAGTATTTGGTTTCTCTATCATATTTACATGAATCACACATGAAAAGCTGTCATCGCTAGGGGCAACTAAGCAGTGCAAAGGCTCTGAGCCAAAATTTAGAAGAAATGATTCAGCATCCAAGCTCTTCTTCCTGCTGTGTTGATGTTTTACTCTCAGGTTTAATTAAGAAGGTTTTACCAGTTTTAGAGTCTGATTTGATTCAAATCATAAACTCATCCCTCATGTTGGTTTTTTTTCCCCTGAGCCTTAAAAACAGAAATCAAACCATTGTTGAAAAAGAGACGCTTGGAAAAATGAATCCTGCAGAACTACAGACCCATCTCAAACCTGCTCTTCAGCAGAAATATTATTGAAAAGAACTTTTGTTTCAACAGTTTGATTCCTTCTTAACAAAGACCAGCTGCTTTGATCTCTTTCAGTCAGGTTTCCATGCCAACCACAGTACAGAGACTGCCCTGATTAAGGTGTTCAATGACATCCGTATAAATTCAGACTCTGGAGGAACCACAGTGCTGGTGTTATTGGACCTTTGATACTGTTGATCAATTCATTTTAATAGACATCAGCCCGGTTCTGAAGTCCTTCCGCTGGCTCCCAGTAGCTCAGAGAATAGACTTTAAATTCCTTCTTTTAGTCTAGAAATCACTGAATAGATCGGCATTGCAATCCGTAACAGATCTGTTTTCGGTGGATCTACCTCCCAGACCACTCAAGGGTTCTAGCTCCAGCCTACTCTGTGCACCCAGAACTAGAACCAAACATGGAGAAGCAGCATCTACGCTCCACAGATCTGGAACAAACTCCCAGCAGACTGGAAAAGAGCTGAAAGCCTGAGTTCTTTGAAGTCAAAGATAAAAACCCGTCAGTTTAGATCTGCCTTTGACTGTTGAAGTTAAACTGTTTATCTGTGGCATTATTAGTTGTGGTTTAAATGTTTTACTTATTTTACTACCTGCTTTATCTTGTTTTCATTTTCCCTTGCTTTTATTCTGCTTTTATTTTTTATTTATGTAAAGCATTTTAAATTGTCTTTGTACCGAATTGTGCTTTATTATTAAATGTGCGTCGTTTTTGAACTTATAATTATTCACAATTAAATTGCTAACCTGTTTTTCTCGCCTGTAGAGGTTTCTGCCTTAGACGGCCTAGCCGCTGGTACTGCAGATATGCAGTTCTGTTTTTGTATAAACACTTCTTGAGTAATCCCACTCTCTGTCTTGCCTTGATGCTGGGTTCTCTGTTCTGGTGCTTGACTGAATAATCGAGCCAAACTTGGACTCATCGGCAGATATAGTGGCGTTGGGACGTCGAACAATGTATTTCTCGGCTCGAGTCAGGCATACAGGAGATTCTAGATTACTTGAGTAATCAATCTACCCCCAGTCCCACTCTTCTGCCTAATATAGTTTCCGCATCTATGTCACATGTCAACAGTTTGTTTTTTTTCTACAGCGAGTGGCTTATCGCTCAGGCTAGATTTATCCTCCTTTTGGTGACATTTGAATAAACAGAGACAATATTTCTTTGGTTGTTTATTAATAGCTCTGCTGATAGCCTAGCCTAAGTCACTAAATTGGTGGGATTTTTAAAGCCGGTCCAGAAGCCACCCGGAATGTGAGAGGCCCAAAATCCTGGTGAGTAAGCAGGATTATAGATATATAGATATTCAAATCAGAACATTAAATGGGATTTACTCTCAATATTGAAAGATTTATAAAATTATCTACAACTCCAGTTCTACTTAATCATATATTCATAATCTACAGGTAAAATATCACAACATCGCTACTGACCTGCGGTAACTAATTAGCTCTGATTAGCTCTGGTTAAATGATCAACTTGTAAATCAAATGTTCCAGTTCACCAGATCATCCAGTCAGATTGATTCAAAGTTTTCTATCTATTTCCATCAAGTCATTGACTCTTCAGCAATCCCTCACACTAAGCATGCTTGTAGCGACAGTGGAGAGGAAAAACTCCCTTTGAACAGGAAGAGACCTCCAGGAGAACCAGGCTCAGTGTGAGCAGCCATCTGCTGAGGCCCACTGGGGTTCAAGGAGACAGAAGCAGACATAGAAAAAGAAGCATAGATACAAAAGGCAACTGTCAACCAGCTCCACAGGCGGCCCCGTCCAGGAAACACACAGCCAGGCAGACGAGCTCCGAGCCAGCTCCCATGTCAGAGGATGAAGAGAGCACATCCAGTTAGTCACAGTCAGAGAAACAGGACTACACTGGAAAACAGGCCAAGCTCCAACATCTAGAAACAAAGGTGTTGATGGCAGCAGCACAGCTGATATTTCTCTCCAGGATGGAGTCACAGCCAAACAGGAACAGACAGAGTCAGGCTGGTAATCATCTTAAAGGGTCTGCTGGCCATAAAATTATAATTTTTTTGTATTTTAGAAAGTAAAATATCCTCTTGTGTATAGACATTTTTTTCTCTCTTTATCACTAAAATGAAAATATATTCAAGCTTTAAACAAGAAAATGAAAAATAATCTAGGAACATATGTCTGAGTTATCTCGATAAAAAGGATTGGTTGAATTTCAAAAATAACAATATTTTCTTATTTTAAGAAAAAGGCCATTTTCACAACTTTACGTTTGAATATGGTTTAAGAATTCCAGCCTAGTGGTTTTTGCTTCTCAAAACAAGAAAAGGGTATCATGTTTAAGATTAGTCGTCTCATTTTAAGTAGAGTACAGTTCAGAGTGCTGTTATCTAACTTTGGAAACATATCTTCCACTTCCAGGCCAGTTTTTATTTGTAACTAACCTTGACATGGTTTCAGGAGATAACTTTTAGTTCCTTTACTCAGAACCTCTCTCTCTCTCTCTGGATGTACAGATATATCTTTTACTATGAATAAAGCAGGTTTCCTTCTTTTGGGAGGAAATCTGCCTAGCCAGCATTGAAAAAAAAATCCAAACATAGTAAAAATGTTCTTAAAATCAGGGAATTTACCCTTAATTTCAGCAGGTATTTAAGATGATCTGTCGTATCAGAATAATACAATTTGATTTTAAGCATCAGAAAACAGATAATGACATTGGCTTATTGTTTTATCAGCTCAAATCAAAGAAAAATAAAAAAATTTCAACAAAAAAAATGTGTTACTTATTTTTATATATATGCAGTGAAGGGTTCAGCAAAAGGTTTGGGTTCAACTTGAAGAAGGATAAATAAACTGAAGATGATGTTTGATGAACTTTAGCTATAGAAAAGTTTAATTAGAACCTAAAAACATCAGGGTTCTGTCTGTTAACCTGCTGGTGTTTGAAGCATTTAATCAGTATTACTATGGTCCTGGGGCGGATTAAGGAAATTTGGGGCCCTAAGCAAAGACAGGCAGGGGAACCTCTGAATTGAGAAGACAACACATGAAACAGCCCCATTCTACAGATATAGAAATGTAAATAGAATAGACATCCATTATCTGTTCTAGGTTGTGTCCCTCTCTTCTTGTCCCTTTTCTTCTTGTTTTCCTCTCTATGTTTTGTACTCAGCTGACTTTTCATGCTGTCTCTAAAGGAATGAAAGATTTTTTCGGCGTTTCAAAATCTTCCCACTCTGAAGGCTTAATAAAAAAAAGATCGTTTACAGACCCCCGAAACGCCGGCTTCATATGGATGAGAGGCTGGTTTGGTGAAAAATTTGTGCGTTTAGGCCAGGGTTTGACTTCGTGTGGACGGGGCCTAAGACTTAGAGACAGATTTGATTTAGTCATTTTGTACACACACATTTAAACTAAAAGAAATTTCATTAAGAACTTCTCTATAGACTATTTCATTTTTTAAAGTGCAGCCTTGATAAGGTAAGCAGTGGTGATAAAAAACATTGTGATGTAAAAACAGTAATGACTGTTATTGACATATGAATGTTACGGAAGAGGATTAGGGCCACTGGAAAAAAAAAAAGTTAACTGATTTTTATTTTTTTTTTTCAGTTTAGTATTGGAAAAAAGTCAGAATTCTGACTTTAATCTCAGAATTCTGACTTTTTTCTCAGAATTCTGACTTTTTTCTAAGAATTCTTTTTTCTCAGAATTCTGACTTTTTTCTCAGAATTCTGATTTAATCTCAGAATTCTGATTTTGATCTCAGAATTCTGACTTTAATCTCAGAATTCTGACTTTTTTCTCAGAATTCTGATTTAATCTCAGAATTCTGATTTAATCTCAGAATTCTGACTTTTTTCTCAGAATTCTGATTTAATCTCAGAATTCTGACTTTAATCTCAGAATTCTGACTTTTTTCTCAGAATTCTGATTTAATCTCAGAATTCTGATTTTGATCTCAGAATTCTGATTTTGATCTCAGAATTCTGACTTTAATCTCAGAATTCTGACTTTTTTCTCAGAATTCTGATTTAAATAAAATTTAAAAATCAGTTAACTTTTTTTGTTTTTTCAGTGGCCCTATTCCTCTTCCATAGAATGTATAGTTAAGGTTCTGAAATGTAGTTTTTTGTTGTTTTTTTTGAAGCAGACGTTTATTGAATTTGCTCCTGTTTTCTTTCCCAGACATGTTTCTGAGTACATCGAGGAGCTCCAGAGCCGCGCCTCAGACAACGTGGAGGTGATGAAGGCTAGACTGGACCCTTATTTCACTCAGGTTCGAGACAACGCCCAGGCCAAGATCACCACCCTGAACGAGCTGCTGAGGACCCAGGTGGGCAACCTGAGGGACCCGGTCCAGACCGCCGTGGAGGACATCAAGGGTCGCTTTGAGAACACAGCTGAGAACCTGCGCTCCACTCTGGGTGGGAAGATGGAGGAGCTGCGGAACTGGTTTGAGCCATACGTGTCCATGGTCAGAGACAGCTTGTAAACAGCACCCGTGATCAGAACTGCTTCATGTGACAGAATCCACAATAAAAGCAGAATAAGACCAGATGTTTCTCCTCACCACACTTAATCCACAGCTGCTGTGAAAAAAATTAAAGTTCAAAATAAAAACTGAAAAAAAAATTTCACAATGTCACCATTTTTCTTGTCTTTAATGAGAGCAACTGTTTTATATAACAGAGTAGAGATTAGGGTTGGGAATTGAAAAGATTTTCACGATTCCGATTCCCTTTTCGATTCTATGAAACGATTCGATTCTTTATCGATTCTTTTTTCGATTCCAATTTGGGGAAAAAAGGAGAACAAACAGTTTGCACAATCAATTGCACAATCTTACAAAATCAACAAGATCAAGATGTCCACAGGAAATGTGAAACTGGAGTAACATCCGTGTTTAAATGAAAAATGAATACAAGAACAAACTTAATAACCAACAATGTCTAATAACAAATGATGGGATAATAACCTATTTTAAACAACAAAAAATACTAATTATAAAACAGTAGTAGGGAAAATTAACAGTTATTTTGCAGAAAGATGAGCATATCTGCTTTTTCTGGAAGGATACGGGATCTTTCAGCGCTTAAGGTGTCTCCAGCCGTGGAGAACACCCTCTCAGATGGGGTGGAGGAAGCCTGCACACAGAGGTAGTTTTCAGCCAGTCCAGATAGCAAGGGCAGCGTATCTTGCTTGTTCCACCACCACAGTGTGGCGCTATCCCTGCAGGGGATGGAGGGCAAGCTTTTATAGAGCTGGATTTCCTGATCCACCCTCTGGGCTAAGGAAAGACGGGGCTTTGATTCACAAAGTGACCGCAGCTCGTTGTCTTCCTCCTCGAATAGTTCTTCCAACTTGCGTAACTTGCGTAACTTACGTAACTTACGTAAAAAACGTGACGTAAGTTGTGCTCCCCAGAGCCGGCGCTCTAGGCTCTGGTGCTGCGGGAATCGAAAAAAGAATCGTTCAGCGAGCTGCCAAACGATGCCATGGAATCGGAAAATACGGAACCGGTTCTGAACAGGAACCGGTTTTCGATTCCCATCCCTAGTAGAGATACTTTGTTATCTAATGTAATGTTAGCTATCTATCAGGGGTGGATTTAGGCAATATGGGGCCCTCAGCAAAGACAGGCAGGGGGCCCTCTGAATTGAGAAGACAACACATAAAACAGGTTGTGTCCCTCTCTTCTTGTCCCTTTTCTTCTTGTTTTCCTCTCTATGTTTTGTACTCAGCTGACTTTTCATGCTGTCTCTAAAGGAATGAAAGATTTTTTCCAAGCACTAAGCTCACTTAGCTGATTGCTCCTTCCTGTGTTTCCAAAAAGGCCAAAGTAAATAACCCAGTCCTTCTTTTCACTGTAGACAAGCCATGATCTGCTTATCTGTTCTCCATTTTTCATTTGGATGAAATAATAGCTGCATGAATCATGACAGCAGACAAGATAGAGGAGAGCAGGAGGCGGGGTTACCAATCTACTCGCTCTGGAGAGCAGAGTTCGCTGCTTTTAGATGTTGTCTCCAAAGTCTCCAGGAGCAGAAAAAAGTCTCTAGATTTGGCGCTAGGAGCTTTTTAGAAATCAAAGTGCTAGAGGGGTCTGAAAAGTGGCTAAATATAGCGACTAAAGCGCCAAGTTGGCAACACTGCTCTTTGCATGGTTTGTTTTCAAATGGTTTGCTGCTGTCTGTTTGGACCTTTCTGAACATGTGCAGCAAATGGACTGATCCAATATGGTGGACACTGAAGGGGGGGGGCTGAGACATACTTAATATTATCAGCGTTCTGATGGCATTTTAGCCAAAGGATTTTTATCAAAAACATAATTAATGTGCACAAATAAGGAATAGTTGTATTAACTATACATGGAAACAGAGTTTTATGGGGCCCCCAGGAACTTGGGGCCCTGGGTGCCATTCCGAACTTAGTCCCGCCCACAACGTTTGAGGTCGGGAAGTTCGGTCTGGCATTGCTCAACAGTAGCGCGAGTATGCTCGCACAATATCTGGCGGGCCAATCAAATTGTCAGGGCGGGCTTTATACGATGATGGACAGAGGATCAACAGTAACGTAATCAACCACGTCACCAAAGCACGCTTGGGTGACAACAACAATGGCTGCCGCTGGAGAGTTGAAGTGAGTAGATTCTGCTATTAGGTCTGTTCTAGAAGATATCGACAGCAGATTAATTTTAAAACAGCGAAACGCGATCAAGGCTCATCTTCTTATTCTAGGCGTGCAACTGCACGCTTTGAGTTTTGTTGAAAACAACTATGCGTTGCTTAACATACATAAAACATAGGTCTATCCAATTGAGTGCAGAGGCATTTTTTTTCCTGGTTCGTTCGAAACACGCCCCATAATCACAGCTCTATGGAGCAGCATCAGACTCATTCTGACTAGAATTGAGTCGAACTACGTCAGGCTAGGAACTTGGGGCCCTATTCAACTGCCTGGTATTGCTTAATGGTAAATCCCCCCTGCATACAGCTCCTGAACTGCCTCTCTGACCAGTGGGGTCGGTTTCGATCCTTTGTTTTGTGCTTTTTACCTAAAGCTCCAGAAGAGAGATGTTCTGTATGGAGGACATCAGGGCAAGATCAATGAAACATCTCCAAGACTGCTGTAGCAGTGACAGAGAAAAATCAATAACAAATCATTCTGACCAGCTTTCTAAAGGCTGAACATCAGTTCAGAGGCAAATGTGACTAAACCCATTTAGTTTGCCATCTAAATCAGGGTAAATCGCCTCCTAGCTCTGCCAAATCCTGCTGTTGAAGTAGCAGGATTTTCCCACAAACACCTTACGACGGCCAAATGAATTTCAAATATGTTTGATTTTCTCCCAACCTTACGATTCCTGATCAGGAGGCTGTCCTAAGAGGCTAATCGCCCCTCATTAACCCCTGTATACTACACCGGAGGTCTTCAACAGGGGGTCCGTGACCCCTAGGTCCACGGAGGTACAAAATGGGGGTCGCAAAAGTTTAGGTTCATTAGGGTAGGGTTAGGGTTTTTTATATTCCACTAATTGAAATGTCTTTAAATCCACATTAACACAAATTCAACAGACTGTAGTAAACAGAGAAATGGAGGCAGAAGATGTCTTTCAGTCATCAATGCTCACATTCAGCGACACACAGGAGCTCTTTCAAGCTGGGCACCGTTTCATTCACAACACCTGTCCCATCAGAATTAGAATCAGAAATATTTAAAAAATCCCAGGACAAAAATTACTTTTGTTACATGACTCCATTCATGGTGACCGGTGTGATATAACACAATTTTATACAATATATATAATAAGGGGGTCCCCACTCCATTTCACCATCAGTTTGGGGGTCCTTGGCCTGGAAAATGTTGAAGACCCCTGTACTACACCATGCAGGACGCCCCATTAGACACAATCCAAAAAAATTTGTGAACAATCACTTTTTCAAGTCAGAGGACTTGACCAAAGCACTTTACACTACATTCAGCACTGCAAAAAAATGAAATCCAAATAAGCAGTTTCTTCTTAAAATAAGTGCATTTTTTCTTAAATTAAGGATTTAAGTGAGACACTTTGCCAATGGAACAAGACAATTTACACTTAAAATAAGGAAAAACAATTGCATTGCCTTATTTCAAGTGCATTTTATCTAGATACCTTATTTTAAGAGTTAAAAATACTAATTCCATTGGCAAATCATCTTATTTTCCTGCTTAAATTAAGGGTAAATACCCTTAATTTAAGACATTTTTACTCATTTTGAGATCATTTTTGCATTCAGTCATTCACCCATTTATGCACACACTGATGGTGGTGAGCTACACTGTAGCCGCAGCTGCCCTGGGGCTCACTGACAGAAGCAAGGCTGCCGGCTCCACCATCTGCAGGCAATGCAGATTAGTTGTCTTACCCAAGGGCACAACAGCATTGAAAGCCGGAGCTGGGGATTGAATGATCCCAGAGGTTCTGAGTTCAAGGCCCACTCACGGCTTTCGAACCGAGCCATCAGCTCCAGGGCCAGCTGGGGAAGGAGCGCTGCCCGGTAAGGCAGGCAGAGGGAAGCATGGTGGTGGTCATTCCGTCCCCAAGGGGCTCCCTCCCCCCGTCCACCGGGGTTCCCGAACCCGCCCCGGGGGCTGACAGCTCGGTTCTGCTGTAGTCGACCAAAATCCAGGATGATTTTGAAATTTCCACCGGACATTGTTTTAGGTATGAAAAGTAGGACATGTCCGGTGTGGGTACCAGATTGACTCGGGGGCCTGCGCCTTTTGATGATGTCACAATACATAATTGTTTTAACGTTTGCACAATTGCGCAAAACATTTTGATTGGTCTGGACAGCTTACTAAAGTAATTATAGCGGGGTGTAGGTTTTATTCGAAAGCGGGATTGCGGTTTGTAAACGGACAATTTTACGAAGAAATTCTCCATGGTCCCTGCGCCTTCCGATGACGTCACTGAATTCGCCATGGGCCTTGCGCCTCCCGATGACGTCACATTATGGCAACACCACTCAAACAAACTACATTGAGCCCGCGGTCTGCATTTGTAACGAGAATAAATTCAGGAGAATGAAGCTAAAGGGATACAAAAAATAAACTTGTAATACAGGTGCTGGTCATAAAATTAGAATATCATGAAAAAGTAGATTGATTTCAGTAATTCCATTTAAAAAGTGAAACTTGTATATTATATTCATACATTACATACAAACTCATATATTTCAGATGTTTATTTTGTTTAATTTTGATGATTACAAATGACAACAAATGAAAATCTCAAATTCATCATATCAGAAAATTAGAATATTGTGAAAAGGTTCAAAATTGATGGCCCCTGGTGCCACACTCTAATCAGCTAATTAACTCAAACCTCCTGCAAAAGCCTTTAAATGGTCTTTCAGTCTAGTTCTATAGGCTACACAATCATGGGGAAGACTGCTGACTTGACAGTTGTCCAAAAGACGACCATCGACACCTTGCACAAGGAGGGCAAGACACAAAAGGTCATCGCTAAAGAGGCTGGCTGTTCACAGAGCTCAGTGTCCAAGCACATTAATAGAGAGGCGAAGGGAAGGAAAAGATGTGGTCGAAAAAAGTGTACAAG